TGATGTTTTTTTTTGCCGTTGTACGCTCCGGCCTTCTTGGAATTGGGATCTCGAAGTAAACACTTTATTTCGCTCACCGGGGTAGATTGATCTAGTTCCATGTGCCATGCCTCTTCGAGATGTCTGAGTATCATTTATTTCCCTTTTAACCCAACTATCCAAAAATGTTTTCATCTCTTTTGTAGCCAGGTATTGAACTCACAACCTTTTAGGTCAAGTTACTAGATTCAACCAACGCTTTAACCCACTGCTTATACTGAGAATTTCTTGTTCATACATCTTTGGGTTGCCACTTATGACTTTTGCTCGATTTTGTAAGCAGCCGACGATCCCTTTATTTATGGGTGGTGGGACTTGAAGTCAAGGTATTGTCCGGTGAATGTTGGCTTGCGATATATAGAGGTCTTCAAACCATTTCTGCTCGAGATATTAGGACATCCATGAATGCTAGTCTGTTGTTGTTTTCCCCTCTCCATTTTTTGTGTGGCCAGAGTATGAAGGTGTCATCATCTACGTATCTCAGACATAGTGTTGGCTTTCTAACGACATTTCTTCGAAGTATTCCATGTATACTTTAGCTATTGCTGATGATAATGGCCATTCTCTTGCTAAGCCTTCATCTTGCTGATATATGTCTGATCCCATTCCGAAGTATGTTGTTTGTGTACAAATGTCAGCATCTCCATCAAGTTAGATATTGTCATACTGGTTCTTTCTTCTGGTGATTAATGCGAGGCCAGTAAGTCCTTGACTGCCGATAGGGATTTTCCAAGCGTAGCTCAGATTTGGCACAAGGCCGAAAGTATTGGGCACCCAGTGAAGATCGAACTCACTACTCAGTCGTAATTGTTCTAGCGAGAGAAGCTTGCTAACCATTACACCACCCCGAGGTGCCCTCCCTGACTGCCGATAATGTCTCCTCCCTGGATAACTTGGTCAACAAGCTCAACACATCCAAGCTCACCATCTGCTTGGTTTAGATGGGAGTATCTTTGATTATTTCTACGGAGTGGGCGGAGTTTCGGACATAATATGATGACTTTCCTATTAATGTGTCAATTGTATCTACAATGAAGCGACTCAGAAAGTGCCACACAGAGCTTTGGCAGCTAACATTGGCCTGAGCGAAATAACACCTTTGTAAATTTTGGGGAGGCCATATATGTGAGGTAGATTACTGAAACGTTGTGACAACTACCTATATGCCTTGGGGGAGGGGGTTCTTCTTCCTGACTGGGATCAATTTTCATCCTGTTTTCATTGTTCGAACGTTATTTACTATAATGAACCTTTCGAATGAAGTCTTCTAGTTTTCCTTTATATTCCGTTTATTTTCCAATCACTACAGTCGCATTGCCGTTGACAACTGGTAGTATGATGGAATTATTCGTCTGTAGGTTTATTTTATTGTCAGCCTCTCCAGGTTTGTGATGGAGTAGACTGTTATCGTTCCACGTCTTATGTATAATGCATGTCAGTTAGCAGTTATCGCTTTTGTTAATTCACCTTTCCAAGTTCTCCACCGCTTTAACCAGGTATTGAACTATCACACTTTGGGTCCTGTCACTAGATCTAACTAACGCGTTTATTCATTGTGACATGTGTCCTTAAAATAGATAGCAGCACGCCAGCAAACTGATACCGAGGTACACATATGCAAAGCCTAATGAATTGATCATGACACCCATTCTTATGAGGTTATACGAAGCATATGTGTCACACCCATATATGTGCGCCATATGGTGACAGGTATTAACCATGTCGAAATATCTCCAAGATGGGTAACTTAGTAGCAATTATTTGCAAGTCAAATATATTTAAAACATTAACAGTTTATAATAATTAGCAAATGACTTTACAGCAGTATTCCTAGAACTTCAAATTAATCTATCCTTGAGTGTTGCTTACTGTTTAACTATTTATAATATACAATCTCCCTTTAAGATATAAGCGTCCATAGCTTTCTACATATGCCATCGTTTATTGTTTTCGAATTGGCATGACATCATCTCAATTGAGAATTATTTTTTTCCTAGACTGACTGAGGAGCAATATCTACATTTAATCTATAACTAAAAGAAGAGATAAGTAATGCCTTTCCCAAGGATATTAGTGCAAAAGTGAATGCAGCAGATTTGGACAGAACTTGAACACATTCCCTGTCGAGAAGAGTTACTCCATTAAGTATATATTAGCCAAGTGGTATCCAATTTTCTCTTTGATTAATATCATGATAATCTGGAAAAATCCTTCCGTTTTCGCATGGAATTTACTCTGCAGAATATTACGTATCATTGTTGACAGATTCTTTTCCAATTAGAATCTTTAGTCTGATAAATAAAATATTTCTTTTGTTGTTTCATGCCTTCGTCCCAACACCATTAATATTAATATTAGCATCTCTTTAATAAGGGGTGAATCGGACATTTTTCACATATTTACATTTTCATATTTTATTGCGTAACGTACAACTCGAATCACGCTAATAGCTTGCTAGTGAGATTTAGGATTTATCGGTTTTCTATGAATTTATTTTGATAAAATATTTCTCAGCTGCTTTGCACAATATGACAACAGCATTGTTAATTTTTCATTATTGTATGTAATGACCTTTATTTTTTATTTCATATACAACAGTTTTTCGCTGAATCACGCTAATAACTTCTGAATGAAAATAGACCATCTGGACATTTTTGGAGAAAAATGAAGGATAATGATACATATTAAAGCATGACATGAGTATATATTTAAAAGAAAATATTAATAATATTATAATATTTAGAGACATAATGGATTATTTGGCAACATGAGCGTCTTTTCAAAGAGTCATGGAATCTGTCTATTGTTTTTTTTTTTAGTAGCATGTTGGATCCTCTCTTTTCCCGGTTTGATGGTCGCCTATAAACAACGTAAGTTGACGTCCGTCGGCATAAATATTATGTTTAATGAGGGATAAAAGATTTGAGTTAGCGCTGATATCCGAAGAAGCTGACCATCACACCATCAACCTTCAACCTTGTAAACTATAAGAGTCTAGGAATTGTTGGGTGGCTCTGGCAGAGTGAGAAGGAGCGTTTTATGCATAAAGTGACAGCGGTATGTAATCTAGCTAGAGATCCAAGACCTCCTTCAGGAGACTGAAGTAGCCTTTTGTGTTACTTTAGCCTCTTCGGGGATCCTGACTGGGCCAACAGGATTGTCCCTAATTATAGCATCCCACAACATGACTCGCCCTGTGGTTGACGTCGTTAACGTTGGTGACGCTCATCTCCCAAATAGACCCAACCATTTTCCCAACCGTCATGACCGTCAAGGATCGCCCTGGTCTCGTCAGTCAATAGAACACAACTCATATACAATTAGAGCCCGACGTTTATGGAGTTAGATAAGATAATCTGAGCTTAGTAAATGCTTTTACACAATAGCGATTGTTTGGGAAAATACACTGTTAAAAAAAAACTGTATACATGCATTCAAAATAGCAGTGTTTGATTATATGGATAATTCAATCTTGTGAATAATACCAACTAGTTTTCTTTCTCTCCGTCATTTTGACACTTGTTACGACATAAATTTTCGAAGCATGGATATTTGTGTCAGATCTAGTCGAGATAAAGTATAAGAACTTAGTTGTACTAAAAAAAAAAAGATGGAAGACACTGAGACATTTTTTCCCCAAAGCAAATCAAATGAGAATAATTCACTGAATGAGATCTAAAACTTATATCAAGATTGACTTTGTTTCCATTAGCAAAGTGGAAAACTGATTTGAAATAGTCATACAGTGTTTGACCACATTTCACGAATAAATATACTTCATCTTTTTTCTTTTCATTTTGTTTGGTTTAACGCAAGAATTACATTAAATCTGAAGTTTATGATTAGTATTAAATAATCTTACTTATTATAAAACGCAGGTTGTGTGTGTGTGTGTGTGTGTGTGTCTGTTCGTTTGTATATGCCATCGGATTTCCTACATTTTTCAACCGATTTTAACAAAACTTCACAAGGCTACGTAAAATTACACGGCGGTGTTTCTGACAGCACCAAAAATTGGAAAGACACAGTTGTCTTTGCACGAAATCAATTTAGGATAAGGGACATTTATGCAGATTTTTCGCAGTCTTTGGGCGATGTTTTGTTACCGAACCACCAAAAAAAGCAAATGGTCAAGTTTCTGATAGCACTAACGCTTGGCTATCTAATAAGTACCAAATTGTTTGCAAGACTGTCAAAGCCGCTTGACCAGGGAACCATAAACGGGGGCACCAAGGTACCGGATTTAGCCCTTTGAACATACATTCACTGGCACAGTATGTACAGTTTGGGTTTGATTCAAATGAAATTTACGGCACACTTGCGGCTTACTATTGCCTTTATGTGTGTCAAGTTTGAAAATTTTTCGGCAAAAACAACCGTCGCTGCACGCGGATCAATATTTTTTGTAATTTTCTTACACACACACAGCTGCGTACAACCGAGTCCGCGTGTCGATACCGAGACTGCTGCAAGCCCATTGGTCACTTTCACAGAGCTTGACCTTGGGGCCTGTCCAATCATCGCGCACGATTTCTCACACGTTATATCGCCCGCGTGATCGCGCCTCAGCTTATGTGTAAGTTCTCTGAAGGTCAACCACTTCTATTGCGTGACTCGGGCGTGCTTTCACACTTTTGCGTTTAATGTTGCCCGCGTGCACGCACTTGACTTACTTTATTCGCCTACTTCGGACACCGCAAGTTGTTGATTACGTGTTCTAGTTGCTTTTTTGTATTATAGAACCTAACGCCACACACGTTAACAAATTGTACTAAAAACCCATTTCCTTTTGGATTTACCCTTGGTTTACCTTTTAAAATTTCCACTTTTTTAATTCGAGTTCCCCTTTAGTAACATCTGAACTCATTTTACTGGGTGTTCCCCTTTTAGTGTCCACGTTAGCAGAGCACGATTTTTTTGTCGAAATCTCTTTTTAAGCTTTACTCTCTTTGACGTTTTACAGTTTGGATGCCACTTAAAATGAGGAAACTTTTTGGACGGCGCACGGCAGCTGCCTCTGCTGCTAGAGCAGCAAGGGCGAGTGAAACCCCTAAAGAGACTTCTTTGCGTCTTTCACTGATGGCCTCGAGCTCAGCTGCTCGCTTATCTAAGGAAAGCGCCGCTTCGCGGACTGAAAGGCTGGCTTCATCGGCTTCAACCATGTCCACACGCCGCGCCAGGCTTTCAGTTTAAGATCGTTCACTTCAGAAGTCACAGGACGCAATTCCGCGTGGCTAGGTTAAGGGCTTTACAGTCCCCAGCACAGAAAACCCTTCGTCATTTGCGGGATGCCACCGATAAAGCTTGCTCCAATGGTTTAGAAAGCCCCGAAAAAAAAAACTTCACATCATCTAAGGAATACTAGGGTTACAGCCGCCTCTAGAGCTTGGGAACAACCCCAAGAAACCGCTCATCATCGCTTAGAAAATGTCCTATCCACAGCGTCTGCCAGAGCCTTAGAAAGCCCTGCACATACCACTGTTCGTCGCGTTAGAAATGCCCGCTCTACTGCGTCTGCTAGGGCTGCAGAAACCTCGGAAGTACGCCGTCAAAGGCTCAAAAACATTAGCAACTTCGAGCTTCGTTGAATGTCGTAACTTCGCCGTCTGCATCATTTTGGTCAAATGCCGCATACAATTATGACTGCACTGTCAACTATTCCGCTAGTAGAGACGTGCAAATAGGGCCATGGATAAAGTTTGCAACGCAAAAACGTAGGCCGGTGAGCAACCTGGGCTTTGTAGGTCTGGGGACAAAATCTAACTCCCTTCTTTAGACGAACCTCCCCAGCCACATAGGGACCTTTTTCTGGGTACAACTTCGAAGACAACGCAACGCATTTTTTAAGCAATACAGAAGTACAACTGTTGCTTCTATATGACGTCTTTTGCTGCGAAGGCTATTAGTGAGGCGGGATGGATGCCTACTTTCAAAATGCAAGACCAGGTTTACCATAATGGGATCACTTTTGGCTGATCAGGGAGAGCCACCTCAATTCCTACAAATTTACTTTCTCGCTGACTACAACGAGCAGGTTGATGCGCGTCTCGACATTCTGCCTAGCGATATTTCCATCGGTCCCCGTAGAGATATTCTGTTCCGTCTACAAGACATGCTTCACGAAACTAACAGTCACATCCGAAGCTTAAAGTTTGCGTTGCAAAACAACACTTCGCCCTCTTTCAGCGTTGTCATCGATGCAGACAGACGGCCTCACGGTGATCATGAGCGTCGCTTCAATGCTCCTGCATGTAATGAAATCGGCGCCGTCATCCATGGTGAGGAGCATAAAAGCCGTGACATTGTCATAAGGTACCGGGGCAGTGGTCTGCGCCGCTTCAGTGATACCCACCGTCCATACGATGGTCTCCAGTACATCCTTTTTCTATACGGAAGCGATGGGCACCACTTCAAAATCCCTATATACTAGGCAAGCAGCGATTCCATGTCGACCCCAAAGACGGTCTACTGTACGGCTTACTACGCCTACATGTTTGTGGCTAGGAGGGCAAATTTAACCACTTGCAGAGGGGCCGTCGATTATTTATTCAATTCGCTATTGACATGGCTGCAGAAATTGAGTCGGAGAGGTTAGGATTCATTAAGTTAAACCAATCAAAACTTAGAACCGACTCCTACATTCACCTTCGTGATGGTCTGCGTTCTGATGGTGACCCACGCAATCTCGGCAAACCATGCACTTTGCTTTCCTCTTACACTGGTGGCCCTCGAATTCATTAACAATTGATCGGAGAACCTGCAGTTCGTACCAGTGCATACAAGCACATTCACACATGAGAAGCTTAGGAGTTCGTTCAATTGTCAAAAAAGTCGTGTGCGCCTACAAAATTCAGGGATCTGCTTCGATATACACTTTACAGATGCCATGGGTGAAACATGTCAGCCATACCGCTCTATTGTTTTGTTTATAGTCGTGTAGAAAAACCTAAAAACACACGGTAAGTACGGCGACCCCTGTCGGCTTTCATAAGCTCTCAGCCGTGATGTTGACAGCGACTGAAGAGAAGGCACTTCTCCATTGCAAATGAGGCGCTCAGACGTACGGCGACCCCGGTCCGGTTTCATGAGCTCTCAACCGTGATATTGACTGCAACTGAAGAGAAGGCACTTTTTCTTTGCAATTGAGGCGCTCGGCCGTACGGCGACCCCGGTCCGGTTCCATGAGCTCTCATCGTGATGTTCACTGCGACTGAAGACATGGCAGTTCTCCATTGCAATTACAATGCTCGGCCCTACGGCTACCCCCGTTGCGGTTTTAAGGGCTCTCAGCCGCGATGTAGATAGTGACAGATCAGAATAAAGGAAGTTACATCACAGATATTTTTTACCATGACACCCCGTCACTGTTCGCTCTTCTCTCTTCTCTCGGTTTTACGGTTCTGCTTTGTGGTCGTGACAGCACCGTCTTTTGGGCATAAGACGCGTCTTTTATTTAGACAAGCGGTTTGTTTGTGATTGCGCACTGCACATACTTTATGTCTGTCTTCCTCACGACACGTTTTCCCTTCAATCCCCATGTATGCTGCAACTGAATCGTGGTTTCTTGACTACTTAACACAAGTGCTTCCAGTAATGCTTAAAGGTCCAATTGGTTAAAACAGTAACTGCTGCCAGCTTTTACTAACAGGTGTCTTAGTAATGGCAAATGACTGATGCTACAACGGCTTTCCGATACTTCCTTCGATACCTTCGAATAGTTGGGCCTGCATGATGTCTGTTTACACTTTGTGTGCATTGCGTTTCAACGTTTTGTAGAAACTTAGTTCCTGTCGACTTGCAAAGCACATCTTTCAAAGCAACAGCCGTTCCTAACACTTAATGTTACATCCCCGCTCTACTGCTAGTTTTAAATAAGCGTCGTACAAGTAACAAGGAGAGTACTTTGGCGTCGATCGTTCCACAGAGAAGCGTTTTCCTCATATATCTGTTTATCAAAAGTTAAATATCTTTTGTGGTTTGTAAACTGCTGATCTATCGATAATCAAACATTTTTATAGTTCTTTTACCGGTTGAAATAAATAAATAAAATATATTTTTGTAATGATAAGTGATTTTCTTTTCTTTTGATACTTTTTTAAAGCATTCAGTCCCAAGGAAAGCGTGAAGCCACTAGCACGCAAAGGGTTAAAGAGTTGAAGAAAAAGCAAAGAGGAGTGATAGAGGAAAAGATGAAGAGAAGAATAGGGATAGATCAAGTCATCTGGAGACGTCGATTGATTGTTACGTTTAAATAGTTGAAGATTATAGCTATCAGGGAATGAAAAAAGGGGAGGGAGTTCCGGAGGCATGAGATTTGAAACATGAAGCTATTGGAGTAGAAGAGACAGCTACATTTAACTGTTTTTACAGCCTACTTGAACGCTTAAATTCATGAAGTCTGGGAACCAGCGAAAGCTGCTCATCGGAGCAGTTACCGTGAAAGTATTTATAACAATGATAAAAGGAGGGAAGGGCATTTCTGTGAGGGAGCCACTGCAGACAAAATGCCAGATAATATATATATAAAATTCTTTTCAATATTTATATTTGTTTATTATAAGTAGTTCAAGTAGTAGTCAAGTAGTTCCCAGGAAACCGACAGCCCGACAACAGCACATGAGAATTGATTTTTGTGGTAAAGGTTTCGTGCAGGACCATCCAAACTTTGTGAAGAGACGAATACAGAGACCTGGTGCATCGAGTGTCACAGGGTTTCCAAACGACCCTCCGCAGGTTTTGAATTCAGAGTTGTCCTTCTCCTAGACCAGTTGCTATCCAAGGTTATAGAATCCACTCTGTCCTGTTATTTAGCCGTAGCTGGAGGGATAAGAAGAGGATTCATACTTCTCCCAAGTGAATGTAATGAATTCGACTGGGATTCGAAGTCGACTCTCTGAATCCTCAATCAAAGCCGATATCCATTACTCCACCGTGCCGTCTATATATGCATATAGGTAGGTATGGTATCAAATGACAATTGGAAAAAAATCATACATTTTGCAACGCGTTACGTCTTCTGATTTTTTGAAGCCAAAAATAAAATTGAAATGATTTTTTTGTATAGTGAAATTTCGATTTCATTTTTGTCTTGAAAAAGTTGGAAGGGGAAACGCGTCAGCAAAATGTATGATTTTTTTTTCTTGTTCCCAGAATTCATCATCAGGAACTATATATATATATATATATATATATATATATATATATATATATATATATATATATATATATATATAATCGTACACGTATAACTGTTATAAGAAATAACATGCTCTATAATTATACTTTAAAATAAATTATCTATGTGGTTAAGAAAAGCAATAGTTGTATCTTCAAATCACAGAAACTATTTACTATTTTCTTACTTTAATTTTCTTTCCGAAAGTAATTTTTCACAATGAATTCTGTGAAAAACATTCATAAATCATAAATATTTTCTAATTCATTTTAAGCCGTAGTTTTATTTCAGAGAAACACTAAAAGACAAGAAGCATTGGGTTTACTTTTACATTGTATTATTAATAAACCATATTTAAATTTTGTGGGTGATTCTTTTTGCCTCTACACCTGTTTACCGGCGTGCGTTTTGTCTTTATTTACATAGAAAACCTTTAAGAAATATCAGGTAAAAAAATGTCTGAAGAAAAAAAAAGCAAAATTCTAGAAAGGTTTCCTCTAAACTCTGAGCACCACTTAATCATGCCTTTCTCTTGTTTATACGGACTAGATGCATTTTCAACCCAGGTTTTGATTTTAAAATGATAAGTCAAAATAGAGATTATGCTACAATAAAAGGCATGACACATGAAAGATGTATCCCTTGGAGTGGGACTCGATATGAAGACAACCCGAGTGCCCCGTATGGGTATGAGATTACAAGAGGCCCGTTAACATTTTTGAATTAAAGACGTAAAATCCGACAAGGTGAAACAAAATGGACAACAGAACGAGTATATGTATGATTAACGTTAAGTTTATTTACAAAGCAGAGGCCGTGGATTAGATGGTCTTGTAAATGTGGTAATGGAGATCAAACTGGTCGTGTCGACGGTTGGAAGTTGAGATGCAGACGTTCTGGGTAGGTGTTCTGGCCACAAAGGCCATAAGCCTGCGTACCAACCGTTGAATTCGGCGAAAAAGAGGGAACAACAACAGTCACTGGTCTAGCAAAATACTAAAAATCTCTCTAAAGAAAGTTGAGATTTCCTATGAAATAACGAAGGTCTAAAAATGCTTAAGATGTGCGTTGCGACTAGGTCCGTAAGACTAAAAGAAACTAGAAAGTAATTAGCTTAATTCTAAAACGAAATAAGACTAAATTACACAACGTGTAGAGAACACGGTTAAAAAAGTCAAGGTCGAAGTGACCTGCTCGTTAAGGAGCGAATAAAGGCAGTCGCGACAAAGGTATTAAAAAAATTGTCAAATTAGGTGGAATTGATTACAAAATTAATAAAGAAACATTGTCGTATAAATAATTTGTCGAGAAAATGCTCATATTAAACTAAAAAATGAAAGTGGTCAAGAACATCATGTAATAGATACACGAGAGATTGGAATACGCCTGACTGATAGTTTCAATTACAGGTGTCACTTGTGTTCTAGTAGAGCAAGTTATTAATGTTACGGGGAATTTTGTAGAATAGACAGCTTCAAGGCTATACTTTTGGACAACACAAATGTAAATATTGGATATAAAGGAGTACTTGTAACTGTTTTAGAAAAGAATCTCAATCGAATATTATATCCAATTAGTTGTTCGTTACATCAGATTGAATAAGCTACAGTTCAGAGTTGTTTTTAAATATGTTGATGAGACAACAAGAAAGTGACAACTTTGGCATGTACACTAGGTACGTTGTGTGAAAAGGGAAAATCATCTCTTATAAATAACAGAAACAGAGTTAGCCGATTTTTCTTCCTATTTACAAAATGTTGAAAGAGCAATGAAATTAACATCTGAATTTTCTCATGATGTTTACGGAATTAAATCAATACAAACTAAGATTTCCTTTATTTCTAAAGCCTTTTACATTGAAAATGCTGATTATATGATTGCATAAATTAGATTTCATGTAATATGACATGCATTTATTGAAATAGCAAACTTATTTATGTTACTGTCGAAATAATAACATAATAATATCATAACATTGCCAAAGCGAATGGCTTTGTAAACGCATTTTCAATGTCGTTTTTTTCTTAGATTACCTCATAGTTTTTAAAAAGACAAAGTCTTTAAGAAAAGGTACATCGTGTAACTTTACCGGTTTCACAGATTTTTGGTTTTCAAAGGTTGAATTCAGTCTGGCTAGGCCACGATCTGTTTATTATTGCGTGGGCATATATACATTATATATATATATATATATATATATATATATATATATATATATATATACTGAATATTTGCAGACGCAAAACACATCATGT